TAAACGTAAAATTTAAATTGATTATTACCAACTATTTCTATTAATTGACTGATCAAAATTTTAAATTATGTCCAAAATATGGTTAGAACAATGTCCATATTTTAGGTTGACATTGGACAATTTTTTCACATATAAATACACTTAACTATTCATGTAATAATTTTAAATATAAATATAAAATTTTATCAAAGTTTGAATTTTTTTAATAACTATGCATAAACATGTACATATTTGTTATTTTATTATAAAAAATACTAAAATATATTTATTCACCAATTTAATAAATAAATGAGTTAAGTGGTTCATGTTTAGGCATAGACTAAAATAATTCTCTACTGATTAGATCATGGCCGAGTTGAGATAAATGTTGAATCAATTAGATTATGTCACTTTTAGTGTTTAACACAATTATAAATCTTCAAGTCAGCTCTTATTTTTTCATATTTGTGAATTATGACATAAGAGAAATTATAATTTTATACCTAAGTAAACATATCTTTAAACTTTTACAAAATAGACAATGTGTAGTTAATAAATTGACAAATATAATTTATTATATGATTAAGTTATCTCTGACATAAAATAAACAAAATTACAAAACTTATAAGACAAAATGCATTTATATTTCATTGTAAATATAGTTTTGTAATTTTATTACACTTTTTTAAAAATGCATTCTACCATAGTTAACTTATTTCTTATAAATAAATTTTATGTTATTATTTAATTTTAAAATAATTTTTTAATTATTTATTTAAACTCATGCATAGGACGGGTATTATAGTTTATAAAATAATTTTAAAAAATTACAAGATACGTTAAGCAAAGATGAGTGAGAGAGAAGAATAAGAAAAAAGGGCCCAATGTGAGATGTCAAAACTAACGATTGTGACAAAATTTAAAAGTTGTAATCAGGAAAGACAAGAGGATAAGGGGTCATTAGTAATTCATTATTTGTCATTTTCATTTTGTTATTCAATTTTTTGATTTAAACAAATTTTGCTAGATTGAGTTTCACAAAAAAGTTATTATTATTATTACTATTATATGGCAAACAAAGAAAATAATAATAATTATTATTGAGTGTCACATCGTTTACGATATTATCTAATATATGGCAAACAAAAATTATGAAACTCTTAAAAAGTAATAATGTATTTATATTTTATCATAGATGTAGTTTTCGTTCCTAAAAATAAAAATTAAAAAGTGTAATTTTATAATTTATCATAATCTATGTTTAATTTTTACTAATTACATTATGATTCATGTCATTATTATTTAGAATTTAAAACATCGCATTAATGGCAGGGGAAAAAAAAATCATAAGCGAAATTATAATAAAAATAGTTAAAATTTAATTAATTTCATTTTTTTACTGTTTAATTTTAATTTTAAAATTAATTATTTGAAACCGTGCATAAATGAGTATTAGGCTAGCTTGTTTGAATCTAAAGGTTAAGAGATTGAGATTTGAAATTATGTTACGCAAGGACAAAATTATCTAGAAAAGAATTCCTACCCAAAATGTAGGGGGGCTTCTATTTTTACTCATGGTTTCCTCTCAGTGCACATCTATATGTATATATTTTCATAAATCAACTTCCGAATAAAACAATTTTATTTGGCTATATCATTAGTTGGGAAGTTGATTTTTGAACAAAACTTTCAAACCAAATAGGTGTGTTCCAAAAACAACTCTCAAATCAAAAATGTGAAAATTAAGTGTGTGAATTGAGATAATATAGTTTGTGAAAATGAAATTGGCCACAATATGTAGGGACTCTTTCAGGTTAATAAAAAGAAAAAGTGGACTTATTGTTGGGTGCCTCTATTTACACATCATAATTTATCTCAAGGCAAACCATTTCTAAAGGTACACCTTTAATGATTTGGTAAATATATATTTTGCTCATCACACACCACAAATTTACATATTCACCCTTACTCACACACCCATCCAAAACAATATACACACAAACTCCCATATTTACCCTCACTCACTCACTCACACACCCCCACACACGCACCTTCTTCCATCTCCCCCCCTCCACTCTCTGTTTCGACCGATGAACACTGTGTTGGTGCTCAACACAGAGTAAAGCAAGTGGTGAAGACGTCGTTGGTGCTCAAGTAAAGCATTAGGTGAATTCTCATTTGGCTTAGATTTTAGGGTTTTATGAATTTTTTACCATTGCCATGAATGAATCAGTTTCAAACCGTTCGACACTGTAATTTGGAACCCCAAAAACTGTACGGGCTCGTTCGATACTTGACTTTCGAACACAATCATTTTGTTCGGCTTGTTATTGTCGAACTTGTTCAGACTTAGATTATTGAACTGTAATGCTTTGTTTGATTCTTTACTGTCGAACATTTTTTTTTTTCCTCCCCACATTGGGAAAGTTTATAATAAATTGATATAACCAATATGTTATAGAAGTTGATGAACACAAAAACTAAAGTTAGAATCGAACAAAGAAATAAATAAATGGATAAGATTTTTGAAAAACAGACTTCATTGATAATTTTTTTAAAATCTTATCCATTTAGAAAATGATTGTCACTAAATTTAAAATCTTATCCATAAAAATAAAAATAAAACCAAAAGGAAAATTAAAAGAAAAAGAAAATGATTGTCACTTTGACATGAATCATTCTTATATTGCTAAAGAAAACCAGCATTTGACTTAGGATTATTTTACTACTAACATCAAAAGTGTTCTAACTCTATCCAAAAATTTTAAGCTTATTAATCTATGACTTCAATCGATGAATCTTGACCTTTGTGGGAAGACTAATTGCCCCTATATATGTTGAAGGTCGGTCTGTCTGCAGCAGGTGGATTTGAATGGGCTTCTAACGACATCATTGCAACTTCCATGAGAATCAATTGGTTATAACTTAAAAACATGTTTCCATGAGAATGACAGTCGTATTCAAAATCATAAACAAAGACAAAGTTGGTCCACACTGAAGCAACAAAATGAACTAAAATAACTTGGATAGTAATGAAGTTACGTGTTACATCATTAAATAAAATTCATAAGATGAAAAGAATAACAATCCAAATGCATCAAATAGAAATCCTCACCCTTGTAACCAAGAACACAAGCCCCACCAACGAAACCACCAACGGCTCCATTGATGAAGTCCCTCTTCATCCTATAATTCTACAACAGCTTCTCTATGCCATGTAAACACCACCAATTACAACAAAAGTCATCCCATAGTTACCCATCATTTTGAGGGTCCTCATCAACTCTGCAAGTGCAACCCTTCTCACAACAAGAGGCACATCGTGGCAACTATGATACCCCAAATAGTACTAGAAGCTAAACCAGTGGTTGCACCCTTAATCTCTGCAAATCCCTTGCTTCTCTCCCCCTTAATAAATGTGTTCTTGTAATCTTACTTACATGCATGAAAACCTTGTTACTTAAGACTTCTTTTTTCCATTGAATCATCATCACATTATAACAAGATGCAATAAGATGACCCGTGTCAGGCATAGTCATCCAACGGTGATACCATGGATTGGGCTCAAAGTATGATAAAATATGGGTCAGCTCTTCAATCCTGTCATGTGAACCATATAGATGAGTGTAATGGTCTACGTGTGTGTGCAATTCCTATAGGAGATCACACCTGACTTGACCCCATTCAGCCTCTGTAAGCCCCATCAAGCCAGCAATGGCCCTAAACCCGCAATTGCCATCGACATCTACATTCTTGATAAGGTGTATGTAAGGCTTCAATCCAATTGGAAGGGCATCAACATATGAATTAGTCGTTGTACGAGTCTGATATACCTATTCAACAAGGAAGGCATCACACATGAACAACAAAACACATAATTTATCATTAAAAAAAATGTAAGTAAAAAATGATTACATATACCTTCTCTTTGGCAGGCCGTTTTGTTTGTACTTTGACAGAATCCTGTGTGGGGATCTGGGTGCCCATAGGTGAGTGGCTATCATGTCCAAACTGAACCAACTCAAATGCACATGGGTCTCGATGCGTAGATACATTTACTTTCTTATGTCCCTTACCTCAAGGGTTGGGCTTCACATCCGGCTCAATGAGAAAAGTACTTTGCGGATTTGCAATCTCTCCTAACTTATGCAGAATTTCCAACTGCATAAAGTAATTAGATGCATTGAATCGCTTAAGTATGAGATCAAACTTTGGTTCACAACTCAATTCCACTTTATCATTTTTTAACTTTTGTACTAGCTCAAGATTCCTCCAGTGCGGGTTAATGCTATCAAGTGGTATTGGATGACTATGTCGGATGTAATCCGCAATCTCATGGGCACAAGGTAACTTGGGTGTTCGTCGAACAACACATCTACATACTGAAGCATCAATGCCAACATCATTTGCTCGCTTACTCTTCGCTAAGACATGATCTAATGTAGTTATGAAGATATTGCCTCGGAGCTCTCTAAAATGGGATGGTTTGAACTGGTGCTGTACAGCGGTTAAACTCTTCTCAAACGATTCCTTAATATCAACATGCTGCAACTCAAGCAAACTATGGATCTTGGTCCAAGAACACTCAAAATTGACTTGATTAGAACCAAGTTGCCGTTTAAGTTTTGTATGTGCACTTTTAGCCTTATGTACAATGGAAACAATTAACATAATTAAGTTTAAATAATCAAAATCATAATGACTAATAGTGTAAGATATAAAAATATATATTACCTATTGGTTGTAACATTCCCAAAGTGCATACAACTATCTGTCCATACGGCGACAAACTTATCCTTATATGGATTTAACCAACTTTGTGACACGTATTGCACTGCCTAAGGATATGTATCAAAATCCGTAAGTAGCCTAGCAAGGTGTTCATTGTATTCGAGCTTAGTTGAGGAGAGTACTAAGAAATTCCATAAAGAGATAAACTTGTCCCATTTCTCCTTACTTTTAAACATTTTCTTACATTTCGCCAGTACATTTCTACTAATATGCCGTCGGCATAATAAATGTCAAGATGTAGAAAATGCACTGTCAATAGCATTCATCAAAGCAAGCTTCCTGTCTGTGACAATCACCTCAGGAATAACAATGTCATCAAAGGGACTACGCAATGTAGTTAACACCCAAACGTAGTTATCAATCCGCTCAAATTGGAGATATGCAAAGGCTACGGAGAATGACATATCAGTGGACGTCACACCAACTATCTCAAGAAGAGGAAGACGATATCGATTTGTCTTATATGGGCAGTCCATGATCAACACCTTTGGTAATGAACGGAGCAAATCTAAACTTACAAGATGTGCCCAAAACAAGTCTATGACAGTTATCGTGTTGTTGTCACACCTATACCGCTCAATGTAATTATGCTTTTATAATTGACCCAACAACTGTTGCATCGGTGATCTCTCAGCTTTCTCAATAACATTATTCCTATGGCGTACATTGTAAATGGTTTTCATAGTTGTTACATTCAAAGCATCCTTTCATTTCAGGGTAACCAAAATCTCATTTGGTCTGACTATGCTTTTGGACATATCCACTAATAATGATATTTCCTCCTTAGATAATCTCCCTGTAAATGAATGTCCTTCAAAATATTTAGCAGGAGCATGGTTATGCGTTCCACATGCTACATCTACCATCCAATCATCATTAGCCATCAATTTACGAGCCCTCAACTCAAAGGGACACCCGTATTTCTTTGTACCCGTTATTTTGACAATTTTTTTGTTTAAATCATCTGGTTTTAATTTCTTATGAGCTTTGTATTAACCACTTCTCTCACAGGCAAGAAATATCCTCGATGTCCTATGACCACCACCATAATCCGATGTCTTGATAACAATCACAAAACCATGTCTGACTATGCTTTTGGACATATCCACTAATAATGATATTTCCTCCTTAGATAATCTCCCTGTAAATGAATGTCCTTCAAAATATTTAGCAGGAGCATGGTTATGCGTTCCACATGCTACATCTACCATCCAATCATCATTAGCCATCAATTTACGAGCCCTCAACTCAAAGGGACACCCGTATTTCTTTGTACCCGTTATTTTGACAATTTTTTTGTTTAAATCATCTGGTTTTAATTTCTTATGAGCTTTGTATTAACCACTTCTCTCACAGGCAAGAAATATTCTTGATGTCCTATGACCACCACCATAATCCGATGTCTTGATAACAATCACAAAACCATTTTTCCTTCCAACATCCTGTACCCAACTGAGCAATTCTTCTTTGCTCTTGAAAACCTACGTGTCAAATTAACCAAAGTCATTAAACATTCGGGAAAAAAAAAAGAAAGAATTTTCGACATGATAGTACTTCATTAGTAGTAAATTGACTTGTATAGTCAACAAGACACTCAGATCCAACATTTCTGTATTCCGTGGATGCACAGATCTGGAAAGGAAAAAAAAAGTATACTTGTTCGACAGTACACAGTCGAACATAGTATATATGTTCGACTAATTACGGCCGGAAGTGAAGTGTTTGTTCGACACACATAAACTGAATTATTTATATAAGTTCGACAGTAATAGATCGAGCAACACAAATTTGTACGATAGTAAATAGTCGAACATGGCATTTGGCATTAATATACAACTCTGTACAGCCGAACAAATACAAATGGTTTACCCCTCACTGAGTACAAGAAAACGAAAAAAAAATGAAAAAAATAACCTTTTCGTTGCTCTGTTGTTCCAAATCTGTGTTGTCAGATGCATCAATCATTCAATCCAATCAAAATCTTCAATAATATGTATATTTTTTATTGTTTCTTTCAAGGGTTTTGGGTTTTGTTTTAGGGTTTTTGAATTCTTGACAGACAAGATACGTACGTAATGTTTGGGAATAAAGATGTGTTTTATATTCAATATTGTCCTTCATGGTAATTATACAAATGGTGTGTTATAACCTTTGTCCTTTCTGATCATTTTATCTTAGGTTAAAATTGTAAAACAAAAAAAATTATTTAATGGTGTGTCTTGAGATGATAACTGGTGTGTAAATAGAGCCCCCCTTATTGTTGCTATAAATTGTATTAGAACTAGTAATTTTTTGGATAAATTACAAATATACCTCTTGAGGTTTGCTTAAAGTACTGAAAACCCTCTGTAGTTTGAAAAATTACAAATACCCCATTGTTAAAAAAAATTTATTTAACAGAATTAACTAAAAAAAAAATTAATAATTGCTCTCCTATACAATAATAAAATTACCTAAATTATTAATTGAAATATATTTATAACATTATTAAAAACTGTTAATTAACTTGATGATTTATTAATAAAAAATGCGATTTGTTATGAAATCAGAAACCTCAAGGGGTGGAATGTAATTTCTAAAATCACAGGGGGCGATTTGTGTTTTAATCAAATCTCAGGAGATGTATTTGTAATTTACCCTCTTTGTTTGGATAAATTACACTTACACCTCCTGAGGTTTGGATTTAATATATATCACTCCCTGATGTTTGGGAAATTACACTAACCCCCCTATCATTGTAATTATTTAGATGGAATAAAGACATTGAAGTCATGTATTCTCTCTTTTTTTTGCTTTGCTTTACTTTCTCTTTTTTCCCCCCATTTCCTTTACTTTTTTTTTTTAATGTAATTTTCTCTATTTTTCTACTAGGAGTTGTTACCTTTTATATAAACAGGGGATTTGTGAAATGAGACTATTAACCACAGGGATGAGAATGTAATTTCCAAAACGTCAGAGGGTGGGTAGTAATTCGATCAAACCTCAAGGGGTGTCAATGTAATTTACCCTTTTTTTTTATAAAAATTATATTTCTAAAAATTGTCAAATCTTCAACATTTTTCTATTTGGGTGAGAGAGAGAGATTTCGATAGTGCTTCATGGTCAAAATTGAAGCTGAGATATACTCTTTAGTATTTGAAAAATGTATTAGAGCTTTAAAAGAGCTTTAATTTGTTTTTTTCTTTACTATGATTGATTTTTTTTTCCCCCTCATTGCCAACGGTATAGAGTTTCATTTAAAACTCTATACTTAGAGCTCTCTATCACTGCCCTTAGTATTTATTGTTTGTCATGTGAATTAATATTTATTTAAGTTTATTATATTTTCTATTTTTAAACTATTGTCAAATTATCTTTTTAGTTTATAAATTATCTATGCAAATGATGAAGGTGAGATGATCTTGTTGGGACTTTGAAGGTGAAGCAGTAAAGCTGCTACTGAAAGAAAAAAGTCACAAAATTAGATCTGGTCCTTTTGGAAGTAGTTGTGCAGATCTGTTGTTGTGATTTTACAATTGTGTCACCAAAGCGAAAGTATCAGCAGCGCTTGTCAGAGTTAGTTAGGGTTGTGGATTCGGGGGTTGAGGACCAAAAGTATCAACATCAATGATTGTATTCATGGTGGTCCTTTATGTTGTTTGAGACTAATTTTGAAGAGAGTGAGCGTCCATGAGAGAGAGAAAGAGAGATGTATAGATTCAAGGAAAAGTCATTTGACATCCAACAAATGAGGGAAATAGTGGACTCTCTCTCTCTCTCTCTCTAACCCAAGGAATTGTGGCATCCTGGCAAGATCTTGGGGCATAAGTCCTAAAGTCCCAGGTTTCACTCACCCGGAGGACAGCATATATGGTTGGTAAGGCGAACCTTCCAGGCTTGGGCGAACCATACCCATGTTAGGAGTGTGGGTTTGAATCCCCGCTTTTGTACAAGTTTACGACTTACTGCTACATAGTTGAGTAGCCTTGCTGTGTAGCAACCACCTAGCGGTAACCTCTGTAGTCTCGGCTCCTTATGGTCTAGCTCCAGAGGTTACCCCTCTATGGTTAGGCCTCTCTCTTTCTCTCTCATTCTTTACAAAACAAATCCCATCTCTCTAGTTTGCACGAATAGGTTATTGTTGTGGACTTAATTTGTCTAAATCAAATAGTATATAATTGTAGATCGCCCGAACTCACTTCGCGCGACCTCTTTTCGGAGAGGGCGCGAATTGTGTTATAGCTACTACAGTTCGGACTCCTATCACGGTTCTGAATCTAATCTCACAAAGTGTAATGTAAGACTGATAAATCACCAAAGAGTCCAAATTCGGCAAATCATTTTGGAAAATTGATTTTAATCAAAAAGCGCCAAACATGGCCTGCTTTGCCAGATTTCAAAGTCATCACCTAAATATTTTGTTTTGGGAAATTTAGGAAACCCTGACTCGTGCCTAAGGCCACGTGTCTGTCACCACCAAAATTGCCTCGGCTCGGGAACTTGGGTACGAGAGGGGAAGGTCCTGAAATGAGCACCTCCCTCGCCCGATCAAAGATCGGCCTCTACTAACGTGATATGTTGTTTTTATAAACACATGTGTTCTTGTCTGATTATTAGCTAGCTTACTATGTGATGTACACAACATATAAGTATAGACTAGATCGCCTAAATTGGAACAAAACAACTCAATGTTTGTTTTCAAAAATGGTTTGAAGTTGCTACCCTCAAGTAGGCTAAAGTGTGGATTTGCCACCTTCAAATGGGCTTAAAACATGATGATTTGCCACTTCAAGTGGGCTTAAAAATGCACATTTTGATGAATTGTTCCAATTCAAACAATGAAGCCTTCATCCACAGGCATTCATACAGTTAATCATTTAAGCACATAGCCTCATGGCAAGCATGCTATCATGGCAGTCACTTACACACATGCAAGGATGCTAAAGCATAAATACTTACAGTGTATTCTAAGCCAAAACAGAAGCTAATTAGAAATTGAAAGAAATATTGAGAGAGTGATTGAAAGAGAGAAATATTGAGAGAGTGATTAAAAGAGCTAATACACTCTGTGATTCAATTGTGTATTAAACATGAAGAGAAGGCTCCATTATATAGGAGAGCTAATACAACATCATTATGATACTACATTATGAAAGAAAACATATAAAAATAAAAAGTAGCCGAAAGTTGAAGGCACTACCTAAAGCACTACAATAAATCATCTGATGGAGAAATGCATGATCCTAACTATACAGAATGCCTAATGCAACACATGCAAAATGACATTAGATAGGCTCGGCTATCTAAGATGGCATATGAATGCAACACTTGATAGCATGCTGTGAAACATGTATTCAAGTCAGTATATTGAAATACAATGCGGTTTGAATGATGCAAGACAAATGAATGATGCATGCATGCAAGCATAAGGGTGCTAATTGAAATATTCCCTAAACTAACCATCAAAAGCTGATAAGTAAAAGGGAGAAAGAAATGGGGGTTGGAAGACATGCAAACACACACGCACCCTTATTACAACATTTGCCCTTTCGACGAAAGGTCCGAATAAAAGCTAAGCTAATCTAAGCTAAGCTAAGCAACTAATCTAATAATCTAATTAGACTAATTATTACACAACCAAATTGAATAATAAGCAATCTACTTACTAATTATTACATCACTTCAACTAATTAACAAATTAGCTAATTAAATTACAAATTGAGGCTAACTAACAAGTAAGCATAAAACCAAGCTATTCCAGCTCTACTCAAAGAAATAGAAGATGCATGCTCGGTTTCTGCCCCGAAAAGCTCTCCGGTTTGCTCTCTTGAGGCTCTGTTTGCAAGGTGTCTTCAAGGACTTGCTGCTGAATTACTAAATAAAGGCTGGGGAGTGCACCAGTGGCCTGCCGGCTATGAAAGGTGGCTGCCGGCCACCTGCTGGCCAAGAGTGGGCCTTTGCCAGCCAAGGATGGAAGGGTGTCGGCCATCAATGTGGCACTGCCGGCCACTGGTGTGCTGTGACACCATTCTGCAACAGAACACAAAAACAAAGGAAATATAGGGTCTCCCTAGGGCATGTATGTACTGTACCGCCCCATATCACCTCAAAACATCAAGGGGGAGGCATCATTAGATCCAAGACCATCAATCAAGCATGCAATGCTTGATGGCTAAAGATCTAATCTTGTACACATTCAATGAATGCAATGCAAACAAGACTCTAAGACCATGGCCTTATCATGAGAGGT